TATATAACCTAATAATTTAAGCATTTTCTATATACATAATATTATATTTTTATCGGAACCCGGTCTAACCTCGGTCTTGTCAGGTCTGTATCCAACCAAAACCCAATTAGGTTGGGTGTGGGATGAGATCAACCCAAACTTGACCCCTTGGCATCCCTAACTAGACTCCCTTTTAGGGGTGAAAGGTAGGTTTGATCCAGTCTAATTCATGACCCAACAGATGTTCAAGTCTAGTTTCGTACCTAATTAGTTAGGTCAAGGTATGACATGACTTTTATCTCATATATACACTAGCGCATATAGCATGCTCTTGGGGGAGTATATATTACAATTTTGCAAAGGATCTATTTAGGTGGATTTTTTTTTTCTTTTTTCTTTTTTTTTAATTTTTTAATTTTTATTTTATCTAGAATATTGGGATTCACCTAAGAATCCCTAGGTGATTATTTTCAAGAAAACAAAATTGAATTTTGAGTTCATCAACATTGATCTCACCTCCAAAAATTGGACTGTCCCTGTTGAATATCGGAACAATTTTTTTTTTCAAGCATATACATTGTGTGACTTGAATTTGAATTTTATTTTACTTTATTTTAGGTTAGGAAACCATTGTTTAAGTCACTTTCCTAAAACGTTTGGAGGTGTAAAAATACTCCTAGCTTGGATTTTATCTAATAGAGCAAATAGACACTCTGCTCCCATATATCAAATCTTTACCCCACATATAAATTAATGAATATTTATGGGAAAATGTTTATACAAGGGTGAGGCCCTAAACAATAAAATTAAGGTGCACCTCAAAAATGTACTAGAATAGGTTGTTTCAATGTCAAAAAATGATGAAATCGATCATCTCGACCTCAAGATGTAAGGACATGAAAAAAAAAAAGATTTCAAGTCTTGTAAATAGTGCATCTTGTAATGCATTTTATGTACTATCAATTTTCAAGTGTTCATAATTCTACTTAATGTACATTATTTTTTAAACCTTAAATTTTATAGTTGAAAATTATTTTTTAAGCCTTAAATTTTATAGTTGAAAATAAAAACAAATTTTAGGGCCATTACAAAGATATCTAATACTAAAACGTCCTTAGACATTATTTGAATGTGTGCCTTCCTTTGATTATTAGGATACCACCCTTATATAAAACACCTCTACACTGACACATTAACGCACATATACGCAAAGATTTGACCAAAATCTTAGAATTGAAATGAAGTGCCCATGACAGGATTTAAAAACTTTTGTAGAAATCCCTCCACATTGAAAGGGACATATCAGAATAACAAAGAGAATTGAAAATAAGAAAACATAAAAAAAAAATAAAGACAAAAATCAGTAATGATCTATAAAACCCTGAAATATGCTAAATCTCATGGGAAAATTATTCTTATCTTGCTATAGTAGTTATGGATTTTAAAAATAGACTTTGATATCAATTGGATCATATGTCTTATAATGTAACAATGGTGTTCTGATACACTCAAATCTCTTGAGATATTTTCTTTGCATTGATGAATAACCTGTTAAGAATAGCATTCTAAACAGAAACATAAAATCAATAAATAAGCAAAAAGCAATAGTCAAATAAATGGGATAGAGGGAAAAATGGGGTACCATTGAGGCTAAAAGTGAATTTATTGGGGTCTAGGGTTTTGAAGTCCTCCAAACGTGCCTTGTGGAAGATTTCCATCTCCCATGTCTTCACAAGGTTTTGCACCTTCTCCTCTAAGGAACCTTCAGGCCATACCTAAATAACAGACATGAAATTCCCAATATCATTTAATTTTAAACTCATTTTGTATTTGAAGAAGAAATAAGACAAAGATTTCTACCACTCCTAAATTGTTGAATTCTAAACTCTTATGGGCTAAGCTAAAACTCTGTGACCTAATTCCAAAACCATTGTGATCTACATTTCAACGGAGAAGAAATGGTAACTGGATGTGCAGAAAATGTAAACAGTGGGCAGCTGCCGAGTCCGACTCAGCCGTGTTTTTTACAGACTCGGCTGAGACTGTGAAACCCGACTCAAGCTTGGGACCCTAGCGAGCCCGGATCCAAGTCCTTGTTTTCCTGCAATGATTATGAACAAAAGCAATGAGAATTTGCATCACCGTTTGGCGCTCTTCTTCGAAAAGCTTGTTGACGATATCGTAGTTTGGCAGAGCACCATGCCTCCACACTGTGTTCTTCTCCCTCATCATGAATATGACTTCGATATTTGTCACCCATGATTGGTTCAGAAGACATGGCCGTGAGAGAAAAGGAAGAAGTTGGTATTGAAGGTTTTTAACCGAGGAAGGGGTAGAAATTAGATGGGAATCTTTGGATTCTTGTATGTAGTGGTGAATCCATGTGCAGAGGGTATTTATAGACCATGTCTGATAAGAGATAATGCCGTCTGTATTATTTTTAAATGGAATTTAATTAAAATAATTAATCGATTGCTTAGATAATTAGGAAAAAAATTTGTCAGCTTTAGGAGAAGTGGTGAGTTAGGTCGACAAGAATCTGGTACCAAATTTGCAGGAATTGGGCAGGTTAGCAGTTGATGTGAGCAAGATTACTTCTCACGATTGATTCCTATGGCTGAATAACTCAAAAAAACAAAACAAATAAATAAATAATCTCTATAGATAAAAGACTAGTTTTACTTTTAATAATACTAATGTAGGCACCATTATCGACCCACGTAAATAGGCTTGTTGATCAATTCCTCTCTCTCTTTCTTCTGTATTTCTTTTATTTCAATTTCTATAGACCTGCAAATAGATACATGCTGGGTCCAAACTCTATGAGGACCGGACCAGGCCCTGAAAATCCACGCCTGGTGGCTAGCCTTCCCTAAGCTAGTTTTACTCTTTTTTTTTTTTGAGGGGTGTGAATAGTTGTCCTACTTCTTTCCAAAAAAACATAATTTTTCCTTGGCTCAGCCCAGACCCATTAACCATGCCCACCAGGCCATCTAGCTAGAGCCAAGGCCGGAGCCCTTTTGGCCCCAAGATTCCCGAGTCAATAGCTAGCCCAGGCCTGGCCCAGTGCCACCCTTAACTTATGGATTGGAGTAATATATGGAGTTAAGGTATCTTCTCATGTCTTTTTTGAAATAGGGATGCCAGGCAAAATAACAAATATACGTTGTGTTATTGTATTTATTGAAACGGTTATCACAAATATATGTTGTGTTATTGTATTTGTTGAAACGGTTAATAGATGACAGCATTGGTTTAAAAAACAGATTGGTGTTTCGGATTGAGCATTCCAAAACCCTATCCAGATCAGTGAATCGGCCAAATCGGTCGGATTCGATAATAAAATAAAAATTCAAAAAAAATATGAAAAATTATTATAAATATTATTTTTTAGTAATCCAATAAAAAATGGGAGTACTACATTATTAAATTTCATTTTTTTTATCAATATGCGAATATTGAAAGGTTTTTTCCCTGTTTGAACTTATGGTAAATTAACATTAATATAGTAATATTTTAATTATAATATAGTATTATTATAATCTAGATACTTGTATAACTATTAATTATAATATAGTATTATAATATTACATCAAAATAATTTAAACATATTATAAAACACTTTTATATAATTTAAAAATAATTTTAATGTATATAAAAAAAGTTATAATGATATAAATTTAACATAATTATATTAAATTATTAACATAAACAACAACAATTTCATATAATTATGTTAATTTTTGTAAATTATTAAATAGAATTTTATTTTTGTAATTATATGTAATTAAAAATTAATTATATACATTTTATGTTTGTATATTATAAAAAAATATATGTATAATTAATCTTATAAAAAATTAAATTTAAAAAATAAATAAATAAAATTAATCTTAAAAAAAATCATAAACCATTTCATTTGATAGATGTCCTTGTATAATAAAGAGATCTATTTATAAAGTATTTGATTTATACATAGTTATACATATGAGAGTGAGGGCACATTATTTATAAATTATTTAATTTATTTTAATGATGTTACAGACAAATTTTCAACGCATACTGTTTGATGCGGTGTACTCTATATAAGAAGATCTAAAAAGTGGTTGTAAGTGCATTGAATTATCCCACGTTCAAGCTTTAAAAACAAATTAACTATTATAAAAAAAAGCTTTAAAGTCAAATTGACGCTTATAAAAGACAAATTCACTATTATTAAAGTCAAATTAACTATTATAAAAGGTTCGTCGCGCCCGCAACTTGACACGATCGGGTGAGTCGAACGTGCTTAATATGATGCTGCGAGTGGGACACTAATGTGGGCCTCGATTTTGAAAACATTTCGAGAGCTACCCTTAAAAAAAAAAAGAAAAAAATAAGTGCAAATCAACGGTCAGGTAAGAAGAGCAAATCTATCCTTAATACATACTCCTTCGGTCTGAAGTCTTATTTTGGAGAAATTTAAAATTTGAAATTTTGGAAGTCCCCTGAGTCACTAGATTATTATTTTGGAGAAATTTGAAATTTGAAATTTTAGAAGTTCCATGAGTCACTAGGTTATTATTGTAATAAAAAAACAATTGAATTTTGAGTTTTCTAGCACTTGGATCTCACCCTTTAAAAATTGAACGGTCTCTATTCAATCTTGAAATAGTATTTTTTGAAGTGTATAGGGGTGCAATTAAAAAAAGGTACCGTTTGTGTAGAGCCTAAGTCCTAACAATCAAATTAGAGCCTACCTTCAAATAGTATCGAGAAATGTGGTTTCAATATTGAAAATCTTTGTAATAGTTTTAAAATATGTTTTTATAATTATTTATAAAATTTAAAGCTTCAAAATAGTGTAGATCGACATATTTATAAAAACTTGAAAATCTTGAAAATTGACGGTCAAAAAATATATTACAAAATACAATACCTCCAAAACTTGAAATCCAATTTTTTCTCATGTCCATGCATCTTGATGTCGAGATGATCAATTTGAAGATATTTGAGCCTCAAAACAACCTCTTCTAGTGAAATTTTTGAGCTAGGCTCAAATTTGATTGTTTAGATCCTCGGCTCTATATAAACTTTCCCTAAAAAAAGCCACGGATGCAAAACACGCTAAAAAACGAGGGAAGGTTACCATGATTTGTTCTAGTCTTCGGGATAATGTTTTAAAGTCCGACAATTTCCAATCGATATCACTAATTTAGATGGAAAATAGGTGAGGACTGAATTGGTTCTAGGATAGTACGGTCTCGGCTCGATTCTCCTTAAAACCTTATCTGTCTTTTTTTTTTCTTTTCTTAAGTTTGTTTATTTTTATTTATTTTTAAGTTTGTCTAATATTTTTTTTTATCCCTTTAAATCCCCTCCCAATGAACTATTATTTTTGTTTTTTTATTTTATTTATTTTTAATATTTTTTAGATCGCCAATTCGGTTCGATACAAACCCGATTCAAATCGTCGATCCAGCAATCCAACATATTTGTGAATGAACCATCCACTCCACTGATCTGAGTTTTAAAACAGTTCGTTAAAGAGAAGTAGTAGAATAGGGCTGGATTTTAGGATACCTAGGGGAGGACCTGATTACAATTCTAATGATATTTGAAGAATTGAAATATGCGTTTGGAAAAAAAAAAATGGACAACTGATTTTTTTTATTATTATTTATTATTTTTTTTAAGGGTCAACTTGGGTTATATGATTGCGGTGATTTAGATGACAGATTTGCATCCAAAATTTCATTATATGGGCATGTTTGATACGCGTGAAAGTACTTCTTGATAAATATTTTCATATAAAAATACTCTCGATGAGGTGTGAGAGTATTTTCACACCATCCAATTGCCTATTGATGTAAAAAAATGCATCGGGACCAATTGATGGGAAAAACTCCCACGTCTAATCACATGAAGGGGCATTTTTACATGAAAATCATGCATACCAAGCATACCTCAGGAAAGTATTTTGGGAGAGTGGACTCCCCATAACACAACAGTGATTTAGAAAGCGCAGGGTCCGCACGAAGTTGTTCGATTCAACTTAGAAATCAATCACCCTATGTCGATTTTGTCAATATATAAGAAATCGTCCAGGTCTAAAAGAACCGGAAATTTGCTAAATTAAAATGGCATTTTGCTAGAGTAAAAATGTCATTTTGCTATAATAAAAATGCCGATTCATCGATCTAAATTGATTTTTAACCGGTTTACTATTTTTACATGTATTTTTTGCCGGCTCACTTTTTTTTCCTCAAGGAAAATGGCAATCCAAACTTATTTTTGTGATGCTTGATTCGAGTCACCGAACCGTGTTTTAAATCACTGGTTTCAATCCTACCATTGTCATTTGTTAACATCATCAATTTGTTATAATCTCAAAACCGTAACAAAACAAAAGACCGCACAAAAAAAAAACAGATTAGGTAGTCATGCGGGACCAAGGGATTTGCTATTAGATCGTTTACTTCAGACTTTTAGGTTACAACCACTCTTTACTTCATGTTAAATTGCCTTTCTTCTATGTCAAATGGGAAGCCAGGAGAGTGTTACATGGTTAAAATTTAAATTTCTTGAACTTTTGAGTGGCCATTGATGGACCTCCAAGATTTCGCATCTAGGGATGAATACCACTCTTTTATACTAAAGATGAATGGATATTGTGTTTGTTATGTTCTCGTGGGAGCATACTATGCATTTGCGCCATTGTGTTAAAGGGCTATTAGGGGAAGGTTTTCAATCTAAAATTTTAGAATACAGCTCATATTCACCTAATGACTAAAAGAAAATGATCTATAAAAAAAATGAAGTTGAAATATTTAAACAAATGGATTTGACTATTCAAAATTTGACAATCTCTAATTCTTTAGCCACATATAGTGTATTCTTTTCTTATTTTAAAAGTAGTCGCTAGGTTTTCTTTTACACTAACAAAAGGCTCCCACTGAGTGTAGACTATTGGAGTCTTTTTACTTGGTCTTATTGTGAATATTTTGGATAAGCTAATTATAAAAAGGAAAAAAAAAAAAATTTATGAGGTCCTAAACTTATACTATATAAATAAAGTGTACCTAAAGAATTAAGTAGAAAATAGTATTTCCATATGGAGAAAAAATGATTTGAAAGCTTTAAAAATAGTGGCATTAAAAAAAAGATTGTATATAATGAGACCATTTACCTTTGATACAAGGAGGTTAGAATTACTTACAACCACATAATGCGAAATCTGATAAGCTGGATGCGCCCCAAAATTCGAAAAAAAATTGTTTGAAGTTTGAGCATGGTCAATGGAATAAATGAAGCCATCAAATTTTACATCCAAGGGTCAAGATTAATTGTGACCACCTTGTATCAAAGATAAATGGTCTCATTATATATTTTTTTAAAAAAAAAA